CTTTCATAATAATTTAATACTTAATTAAATAAAGAGTTTAAAAATTCAAAGTATTTTTTATTTATTTAAATATACATCAAATAAATTACTATAAAAATAAATATTATAAAATATAAAATATACATATTGTAAAGTTTCTTTTAATCTTTATATAGAAGCAACATATTCATAAATTATTATTCAATGAGTTTTAATATATACCTTTAAATTTCTTCTATCAATACTTTTTAAATTAATAGTTTCTTTTAATCATAATCTAGTAATATGTGAATTTTTAAAAAACTTTATCAGAATATTATAACATTTTACAAGATATTCAACTCATGTTATTTTAATAATATCTAAACTTATCAAATTAATACAATGTATAATGCATTTAATATTAATTTTATTTAGATATTTCTGAATTACTATTTGTCTGATAGCTGTTATATTTTAGCATTATCTAAGACAATTGCCACAAATTTATTTATACTAATTTGTTCAATTATATCAAAAATAATATTAAATAAATTTTATATATTATGATGTATATTTAAAATATTTTCTAATCGTAAAGATATTCTTTTTTAAAGGAGATAAAAGAAGAAAAACCCAAATACTATTATTGTAAGAATCTATCTATCCATCTAAAGCTAATACATAAAATAAAAAATAATTGATTAATATTTAATTCAAATCATTAATTAAAATTAATGTAATAATTATATAATTTTTACCAATAGTAAAATTATTTTTTTGTTTAATTCATTTTTTATTTTTATATTAGTTTTAGCTAATTCTGCTTATAATAAAAATCTACCTAATACTTAACATAAAGGTACATTATATGCTATTTGTAGTATTTTAATTAGATTAAGGAACTATGAGTTTTAATAGTACTGAATAAAATATTAAATATTATAAATACCTTAATAATAATACAATTGATTTTATCAATTTTTCCTTTTTCTAATTTTTTTGATTCAAGAAAATTAGATATTGCTATTTGTTTGGATTTTTTAAAGGAGGTTCATCTGATTCACTTGAGATATATTCATTTTCAAGCTTATGCTTTTCTTTATCTCTTCTTACAATACTTGCATAATATAATCCAAGTTTTTTAGAACATCTTTTACAATGATTAACTAAATATTCTTGAAGAATATAAGGATTTTTATATTTCTAATATAATTCACAACTATTATAAATTGTAAATAATATCCTTTTGATTACTTAGGATCCTTTAACATATGATCCCAAATATCTGAAAATGGTCATTCACCTCTTTTAAGATTATTAATTATATCAGAGTTTGCTGCCATTTTAAAAGATATTATTAATATTATAATATATAACTATTAAAAAAAGTTAAAAGTAAACTAATATGTATATAAACTAAAAAGTTAAAGTAAAAAAAGCTTAAGAAAGCTAGAAGAAATTAAAGAAAACCAAAAAAAAAAACCAAAAAAAAACTAATAAAAAGTTTTAAAAAAAGCAAAATAATTTTGTAAAATAATTTAAAAGTAAATTCAGATGATGATTTATAGTATATTATAAAATTAAATCTATATTTACTTTTAAAAATTTTACTTAAAAAAATTAAGTATTTTTTTTTTTTAAAGAATTTAAACATTTTTTTTTTGAAAAATTTAAAAAAAAAATGTTTGTTTAAATGCTATTTATTAAAAAATATTTATATTATTTTATTATATTATTAAGCATTATTAAAATTATAATATAAATTGTTAAAACACCAAAAATCTTGATAAACTTTATATAATTTATTTAATTGTAATACAAATTTATAATAATAATTTTATAAAAGTATGTAAAAAAAAACTTTATTATTTCCTCTCCTATTTGTCTGTTTTAATTTTTGCTTTATACTTTTAGATTTATTTACACTATTTATATTTTTTATTTTTTTGCATTTACTCTCTTTTCTTCTTTTATCAAATATATTTACTTCTTTAAATATTATATTTTAATGTTACTAATTATGTTTAATTATTTCTTTTATATTACTAATTATTTTTAAATATTTATAATAGGATTATTGTAATCTAATTGATCTATATAATATATTGTAAATAGTTACATAAGTAATATAGTTAACATAATCAACTTAATAGATATATTTAATTTATATAACATAAGAAAATGTAGATCAAAATGTCAAAGATGTCAAACATATTTAATATATCTAATATTTTTGATATATCAGACATATCTAATATATATGATATATTAGATTTACATTAAAAATATATAAAAAGGATTAAATTCTTAATAAGAAAATAACTATTAATTGCTAAATGTAATCTGATTTCAGCAATGACTATATGTAACTCTTTTTTGTAAAGATAGCGTAAGGCTACTCTTTTCTACTTGTGATTAATTCTTCTTTTATATTTTCTTATTTTAGTATTTTTAGCTTTTAGTTTGTTTATTTACCAATAAATCTTATTTGATTTACCTGAATCATTTTATGACACCTTATATTAATAATGTAATTTATGTTTATTTTTAACTTAATACATAAAAATATACTTAATAGTTTATTAAATATATTTAGCAATATATAGTGATGAATTATATATTTATTATAGATTTGAATATATTTTTCAATATATAATAGAACCTAATCAACTGAGGTGTGAATATATTTTCTAATATATAAAAGAACTTAATCAACTAAGTTATGAATATATTCTATCCTTTCAAGCGTTTTGCAGGCAAATTTGCCTGCAATTTTATTTAATAATTAAAATTATTTATAATAATTTTAAA